ACTCCTCCCGCCTCTGTCCCAGAAGGGAGCCAATGGGCTTCGACAGCAACTACTCCTTCTCCTGGCTGCTCCACCTGAGCAAAACTGGCCCTTTTCTTTCCCCAGGATGCAGGCACACCACTGGAATGATCCTGAATCTTAAGCTAGATGTCACATTCAGAGCTGGTTTAAACTAACAGAGTAAGCCAGATCTTCATTATTCCATCTGTGGTCTTCAAAACCCACAACTGCGAGTATGATCTCAGTTTAGCTGTGTGCAAAAGAGAGAACCACAAAAAACAGCTATGCGGCCACAATACTACTTGCCTCAAAATATGAAGTTATGAACCTAACCAAGTTCGTTCCCCGATGGTCCCCAGAACAAGTGTGACAGCATGCTATACACCACTTTAAGACTGCCAACACTAAAAAAATCCAAACCTAGTCCTTGATTCACTCCAAACAAGGTTCCACTAGGAATTTGTCCTGAGAGCAGCAATTACTTTTAGTACCCCAAAACAAGTCTTCTGCATTGTGTGCAAAAAGCTAAAGAAATATTGCCACAATCAAATACAGCCCAGCTTTTGCTTATCTCAAAAGATGTTTCGTGACTTCCTGTGCTTTTAACATTAAAACCAGGGGGGGACCAAACTGTACTGACCCCAAACATGCATTTACAGGCTTAAAAATAATTAAGGTCAAACCACAGAAACTACTGCTCAATATTAAAACAGACATGATAGGCAAAACTCTCTGAAATTATGGCAGTATTGAAAGTAAGACAATCCTCCAGCAATAATCATGAGTCTGTGATAGCAATTACCAGACAACTGATCAGTTTCAAACTCATCAACCTGAAAAAAGCCTAACTAATTGCTAGCAGACATCAAGAAGTGCAAAGAGGAATTACTATTTCCACATAGTTTTAAATGATACTTTCAAACGTATCTTTGTTTTATTCAAAACACACAAACCTGGTTTGAACCAGTACCATTTCTAATTTAATCTGCACGTTTCACATCTTCAGCACATCCAAAACTGATAATGCTTGGCATTTGCGAACACAATGGACAAGATGACTCATTGCAAGGAATAGCATGCTGCCACTAAGACGCAGAAGGGTTCAGACTGACTGCCCGCTCAACCAGCCACAATTGGCAACTTTGAGCGGCAAAGCCCCGCCGCGTAATTTCCTTCGTATTTACGTTATCTCAAGATGTTTGGCTGTCTGATACTGGAATTTGGCACAGGTACACAGTTTGTGAAACATGCTTAGAAAAAAGAAGTTACTGTAAGTAAAATCATAATTTTTCCAATTGTAACCCAGGTACGTAGGCAAGTTAACGTCGTGACTGGCATTGTACGTGTGGCTGACAGACTAGTGACACAGCTGCAAATACAACTTCTTACAGCAAGCTCTACAGTGCAGAAACAGCCACAGAAGTGACACTCTAAATTCAAGGTGATGCCAGATTTTTTTGTTTTGTTTTGTTACGTGGAAAGGTTTCCTACTTCCTCCTCACCATCTTCTTTCTGTCTCATGAGCAGACAGCCTGGACAGACAGCTCAATGCTGCCACCTCTCTGCAACTCAGATTAGCAGCTCCTACAGACCAGAAGTTAGGATGCACAGCTCCGGCAAACACATACTTACCACATCCTCAAGGAAGGTGCAACCAACTTACTTGCACACAAAAACGTGCATAGTCTTTACTACCAGAGCAAACGGCCCTTTGATGTTTCTGCAACCTTTTAGCCTGTTGTATCATTCTCAGTACAGAATTATAAATAAAATACTCCAAACAGGATCCCAAAATGTTCTCTGAGACAAAACTCAGGTGCAAATCCAACCAGCATCGTGCTCGGTACACGTGAGACAGCCTGCATATCTTGGTGTCTCAGCATCTCCTACCAGGTAACGCACAGCCAGTGTCTTACAAGGCAATGCTGAATCAGAAGGCATTTTAACCATGACACTGCCTTTGATTCTTCTATTCATTCAGAGCAAATAATTTCCTTCTTGGCATCATAAATGGGAAAGTAACGGAGAAAAAATTAACCAGCCATTGACAAGTTTATGTTTAATATCTCCGTTATGCTCGTCTCTTTCTGAATACCAGACTTCTGCTGCTGTGACATGACAAGACTATTCTCAGTTTCCACCCACACTAGACTGTCCTCTCTTTCCACCCACGCCAACCTCACACCCATTATGATTAAAAGAGATAAAAACATGGCACACAAGCACAGTCTCTGAAGAGGCATCTGTCCTGTTTTCTTCTGCTGAGCAAAACTTGTCTTTGATGTGTTATCATTAAAGTAAAATAATTAAGTAAAAATTGTTTTAAGAACAAGTATAGGTATAAAATCCACAGCCTGAAAGATAGATTTTCTTCATCATGCAACTATTTGGCCAAAACCTTCTGAGGCAGACAACCAAACATCCTCCTGGCCCTCTGTTTGTTTAGCTCAGCAGACACCAACAGGTTCTGCAGAAAACAGAAACTGGTCTTTTAGGTATGCTTCAGTTAGTGTCATGGATGAAGTCAGGATTTTGTTTGTTAGGCTTTTTTTTTTTAATGCAGCTGATGTTCAGTATTGACAAACAGATCACCATCACAGCTTCTTGAAATGCAACGGACAAATCAATTTCATTGAAACAGATCTAAGTGGATCGCTGAGCTCCTGGAAGGTAGTACCTCCCCTAGAGCCATTCCTGAAACCCTGGGAAAGTAAGCATTTATTGAATACTGATTTTTTTTTTCTTAAGTACTCCCCAAACCAAAATTAATAGTTAAAAGTAATTTTGATTGGTAGTAATTACCACAAAGCACGTTGCTGACTGTAGGCCATAAAAAGGCTGTGTCCAAGGGATAGCCAGACTGCAAGGTCTCCAAAGACAGGAAACACTGCAGCCAACTCTGGTAATGTTAATTCTCTTCCAAGTATCTCCAAGGCAGATCCCACTACAGGGACATGTGCTTCTAACCCATGCAAGCTTATCATCTGCCTTGTCCAGTCTATATCAAAGCATAGTTCTGTGGTGAAGGCAACTTATGTATAGGATGCCAGCTTTATGTGCAGTGTTTCCCAGATTAAATATTCAGATTTAAAGTTTTAGTTACTGGCATTTACAAGTGATGAGACAGACAAACCGTATTTGAAAAATATTCAAAAGAACAGAATGAAGAAAAATAACACTGGATAGAATACGGTCTAATCTGGAATAACATCTTTAATGCATCAGACAGGACCAATACAAAAAGGTCCAAGAGAAAAAGGATTTCAGATACTTCTTGCTATTTAAATGCTAAATTCTCAATATCACAAAGGCTGCTTGGTGTTACTAATAATGTTGTATAGCAAGTGCATACATGGAAGACAGTGCTTTTAGGTAAGATCCTGCATTGACAGGAAGTGTGACCAACCCATTCTTCTCTTCAGCCACCTTATTTAAGTGGACTGCAGTAAAAAGACAGATATAAATACTTTTCACCATGCAATGCTAAATCTCTAGAAAAAAAGAAGGACACAATTCCTGAAAAATCATAAAACTCCACATTGGGAGTGGGAAGGAAGGTCAACAATTTAGGAGAAAATCAGAATTCACACAGAGAAGTTTCAACATCTCTTAACAAACTAAGAAATACACTGTAACCATTACCTATTTTCATCTCTTCACCTCTTCTTAAAAACTGAAGTCCACAACCAAACGAGCAGGTTCCCCACAAAATACCACATACAAGGCAGTGAGCCTCAGGGGGGCTAGTCACCTCACGTTTCAGCGTGTCCATACACAGACTGTTGTCTCCTCACAAGACAACAATGTCAAAAACTGGTATTAACCAGTGCCCGAGTTACACAGGGTCTGTGACACAGAGCCTCTCCACATTCCTAACCCCAGCTACCTCTTAAATGCTGTCTGCATACTCACCTTTCTCTTTTGTCTCAGAGCTACAACAATGAGTATATGCAAAAGTAAGCCTGACAGCATCCTTGGCCTCTGGTGTGAAAACAACTCTAGAAGTACTTCAATACTTTTTGTTATTCACTTTCCTGCTCAAGTCCTGTTCTTCTGTCTTAGTGACTGAATAGAAAACCTCCATTCAAAGTCCACAAAACGAATACTAAAATTGTCTGTTCCAACAGCAAAGCAGACGTACAGGACTGCCTACAAGATGTAGGTTTTTTTCTCAGCTGTTGCACACAAACATCGGCTTCCTTTGTCAAGAGAGGTGCTATTACCCCCTTCTGAGCACTTCTTGAAGACACATTCCTTGAGAAAGCCGTACATGAAAGGCTGGGACTGGACAGAGGGAAGTTCCTGCCTTGGTCAGTGTAACCAGTGCGTATCTACTACATTAAGTCTTTCCCACAGATCTACAGGAGACTAGATCACACAGGCCTTCTTCCAAGAGCAGGCCAGCTGCTCCACCCCCTCCACAAACAGCCGGGTTTATCATTACCTCGTGTTTCAACAGCACTGATGCACTTTTTGATGACGGTGAACCCTATCTTATCCAACTGTGCACCTACAAGGGGAAAAAAAAGTTTGAAAAGTTTCAAAGGACCATTACAGTTGTGTCTTTCACTGAAAAATAAGGCTGGACTTAATCACACAGCTAGTACTTCTCATGCAAAACTAAGTATCCTGGAACAGGAACACTTTCTCAGTTTTTCTAGAGAACTTCCACCTCTTCTCTCTCCTTCACAACCTGCCTAGCCCAAGAAAAGGCTCATTCTGGTGGCAGTGGCTTCACCGAATCTATTCGCCGCAGCAGCCTTTGAAGAATGGGATCCCTAATTAGGTACATACTTTGATAGATGCAACATGGAGCTTAACAATACTGACTGCAACATCGACAACATCAGAGAGAGTGAGCCAGATGGGACAAGGAAGCACTTAGGGTGAAAAAACAAATCATCAACAGCATGGCTTTTACTGAATCCTACCCTAAGCCAAAGGAATTCCCACACTAAAGATACAGGACACATGTATGTCATTTCACAGCAGTTAATGATCAGACTACATAAAAGCAGATGCATTAACAGGCCAGCAGCTGAGATCCAGCATTCGTTTGTTGTTCCTATCGTACTCTTTTTCTTCACATCAAAAAAACAAACAAAAAAAAAGTAAAAATCACATTTAAAAGCTTATATTGCAAAACTGCTCTTTCTGCAAATATCTGACTTTCTTGCTCCTGGGGACCTGGTATTGCACCACAAAATCAAAAAGATGTAGAAAACCTTCTATTAATAATGCCAAGATCCAGCTCTAGCCAACAATTAAAAAATAAATAGATGAAAGCATAAATTGCCTGATAATTCAAGAAGGATGTTTTCACTCCTACTTTGCTAACAGAGGAAAACTAATGTTGTTTAAAGCCATCTCTTCTACTTCCATATTCTAGTTTACATTTTAAATACATGCATTCAGCTCTTTTGCTGACCTTTATGCTCAGCTGCAATTGCTTTTAATACCATACTTACGCATTCCAACAGATGTGTACACACCATATGGATTAAGAAACTGATGCATTTACATACAAAATAACCCTTTTTTGAGTCCATTTCAAGCATGAAGTAAATTGGCAAAAACAATCAGACCATTTCTCCAGCTTATGTCTAGTCCTACAATTCTTATGTATGTATTAAACTGCATTACTGTGAAAATCCTTTCATTACAAAAATCCACAGAAGTACAGTCAAAACAATTACATTGGATCCACAGGAAAAAAATTACCTCTGCCTTTCTCAACTGTAAAATGTTAACAAAAATCAGCTTTAATAGTAATTCAAATACTTACTTCCCTCTCGTTTTGCATTTGCTCTATTCAAATTAGTGAACAGCTAAAACAAAAAGAGTAAAAAGACAAATTATTTTAAAGAATTTAATGAAACCAGAAACAAGACACCCCCAATCTTAATGCCCAGCAGGCACAAATACAGCCGTTGACAGCTAGAACCTATCACCTCTAACTACAACAGCTCTAACAGTAGGACCAGAGCTCCATGTCACCTCAGAAATCAGATAATTGCACTTTTTAAGGAGTGAAATCTTTTGAAAATTCACAATAAATCCAGTTCCTTTGGGAGCAGAACGATGTTACTTATAGCACTGAAATTAATTGTGATATACATGCTCCACACTCCTATCTTCTCCGCAGGTTAATTTCCCACAGTTTAAGTTCACTCACATCACTGAACTGCTTTGATGAATCCTGGGAATTATGTCCCAGCTCAGCATTCCCAGAAGTTGTAAGCTTACTGGGGAGTCCAGCTCAGACAACACATGATGGTAATAAACACCTCTGCAGATGAAACAAGATTTTTACAGCAATGATGCCAGCAAAACCTATTGCTAAAACCACCAGTAGCCAACTACTGGGAACAGACACGATTGTCATTGACTAGAAAACCCCACTCTTTTAGTCCCACAAGACCCATATACTATTTATGATTGTAAGAAGGATCTGCAATGTGTTCCAACTCTGCAGTTCACAGTTATTTCCTGATGTGAATCAGAAATTAAGCAAATTCAAGTACAACCTTGTTCCCATTAACAGGGATTATTTTTATCTAGTTAAAAAAAAATACCACCACATAACTAGCTCACACAAGACTTGCCACTGAAATACGGTATGTCAGCATAAGGTTAAGTGGACATGCTTACACTAGACATTTTCTAGAATACCACTATCATCATTGTGATGGGAAACCATTTCTAAAAATTGATGCTGTCATTACAATGAAAAATACCTTCTATCAGCATTAACAGATATCTATGCTGAGCTTTACCAGTTACCATCTCTCCTGAGTTTTATTTCACTTTTATTCATTTTACTGAATATATCATTTTGCAAACTACATAATCACTATTTATTAAGTTTAAAAAGTTATATGGCTTATATATATCATATATAAAAAACTTTAAAAGTTTATAATTACAAAATGGAATCAAGAAGTGGGGGGACAAGAGATTTTCTCCATTACGCTATAAATGAACATAATGAAATGTCACTTACAGCTTCTTTTCCATCCAAGGCTTCCATCCACAGCTTCCTGTCCTCCTCAGAAAATGCCTGCATGGTCACAGGAACTCCAGGCCTGCAGAAAGTAACAACCACACAGAGTAACTGCATTCACCAGCAACTAAAGTGCTGCCTTGGCAAAATCTACAAGCAAAAGCCCATTGTCCTAAAAGTTAGGGTTGGGGGGGGTTTAATTAATTATTGAACTGCTCTACTTTAAAATAAGAAGTATAGAACTGACACATAAGGTAGGAAATAGGGAGGAAAAAGGGAAGTAAATGTAACCTGCAAACTATTTATTTGAAATAGTCCATTGTTGATAGCCTACTGATTCCAACGCTTGCTGGTAGTTACTGAGTTTTGTGAATCCTAAATAAATTTACCCTTGCTTTGCTGGGTGATTACATTAAAAAATGTCTTTTGTCAACTTGTTTGATGCATAGTCTTCAGCTTAAAAGCAGTGACAATGATTGTTTTCTAGTAAATATCTTCTAAAAGTTAATCAAGTCTTAATGCAGCATCTCATTACAAAACTCCACTAGTCTAACTCACCTAAAAGGCATGGATGGACCACTGTAGGATGCAGGGATTAGGGAACAGAGATTAACATAAATCTACTTTTGCGTTGATAGAATAGGAAACTAAAAAGAGTAATTGTGTGGTTCAGCATAGCATACAAAGCAAAGAGTTAAAAGCAGAACAGGTTATTTGGGTAATTATTTTTCTGCCAATTAAAAAAAAATCATTATATTCAGCCTGCCATTACTTCTGGCAAATTTGTAAATCTCATTATACAGAGATGGATAGAAATAGAGAATTAATTCATAACATTCTCTCTCTCTCTTTTGTTTTAAATCTATCTTCAAGTAGCAAAATAGCTGTAGGGGAAAACGTTATCTAAAAACAGCACAGACACAACCAGCACAAATCTACTTTTACTTAAATCTGTAACAGTCTCCACACCACGTTCATATTTTTACAACTGGAGATGTTTCTAGTTCATTTTCACCTTGCCATAAATTTTATCAAATCACACAGTTTAATTGCAGTGTAAAACTCTGTAGATACAAATACCTCCTGCACAAAATCTCTTTTCAGACATGTGAGGACGAGACACACACACCCCCTCTAGCAATCCAGTCTAAACTCAGGAGACGCAACTGTAACTTTGGAATATGGCAGCAATCAGGCAAGTCATCTTTTGATTAGTTAATGCAAGGAGACTATTAAGACATAAAAAATGGAATCTCTTACTATTTTCAGCGATAGACACTGAGCTCTTAGAGTGGGCGAGGGAAGCCTTGCCCTAATTTCTGCAACTAATAACCTTTGTGACTAAAACAAGCTAATAACAATATTAGTAATAATAGTAAGCAAAGCAGCTTCTCAAGCCAAACCAACTTGTTTCAATGCAAACTGGTCTGTTAGTAGCATAGAGCTGCGAACATCAAAAACATACAAACTTTATCACTCAGCAGAAAAAAAAATACCTTAAGTAATTAGCTAAATTAACTAAAACCCATCCATGTGTTCATTTTTTTTTCTTGTCCACTTTCTTTTACTAGTTAAAACCAAAACCAAATTACTTCTGTGCAGGGCAAACTTTTCATGAAAATAGTAACTGTCAATGTATCAGAGTATCACCCAGAGGCAATACATCAAACTCTATGCTGCATGAAATATTATCTGTCTACAAATTAAAGTCAAAAGAGAGAAAGCCTTCCCTTCTCCTTGTCCTGTACTAGTAATATTAAATTTTAAGTAGTATTTCAGAAGGATAATGCTCCTTATCAACAGAAAGTCTTTTTCCTACGCCAAAAGATCTCTGCTGTCTCTAAGATTGAAATTTCTCTACATTTACAATAGTCACCTCCAACTAAACCTGACGGAGTACTAGAAACACAAAAAAACATCACTTTCTAAAGATTTAGCTGGGATCCTAGCACCCTCAGAGCTTAGTCGTAAGTATCAGAATTTAAAAAAAAAAAAATCATCTCTGTTTTCATTTTAAAGAAAAATCCATAAATATTCAGCTAGCTCCAAGCTATGCTCAAGTCACACACAAGGCTTTTCATTTGCTACTGAAAAGTCCTTCATAAAATTTTACAATCTTGCCTCCTTCCACAGCTCAGGAACCAAGAAAATCCCATGGCCAGCTGTCAATCTGTATGTTATTTTTTAACTTGGACAAGCCCAGGGATAAGTGTGCCCTGAACTGATACCAAGGAAACAAGCTAATGGCCTGCAGCACAGAACTAATCTCCATGGGAACATCTCAGTACTACACACACATATTATTAAAAGAAAAATGTCTGATATCAAGGTCACAGCGGACCAGTTGTGTCTATTATATCTGGACAGAAAGACAGATTAGATTTTTCCCACTTTTCCCAAAGAAAGAGAATGAAAAACAGCTTTGCAGGATCAAGGAAACACCGCTCTCCATCCATCTCTGTTTAAGTCCAGATACCCTATTGAGCAGAGATGACACACAGAGTGGGGGGTAAGCAGACATTTCTCACGGTACCTTTTTAGCAACTTTATCAGACTCAGTTTGAAATCTGTTATTCATAGTGACCAACACACTGACCCAATAGAAGCAGATGTCAAGATCTTAAATCTCTACTCCCTCTCCTACTGTCGGGACACAATGTTAGAAGAGTTAAGCCACAGCGCATTCCAGTCAAAAATGCAAGTTCAGACCATACTGTCAACTCGTGACAAATGCCGCCCGAGCTGTAAACGGGTATCTTGTCATCTGCCGTGTGAGCTGCAAGTTTTGGGATGCAGCGGTAGTTTTGCATGCAGGCCACTCTGACTGGCCACGCAAGCTAGGCATAACCTCGAACCTAATACTGCATGTGCAGATGTTCCTTCTCACTAATGTATTTGCAGATCACTAGCAATCAAAGGACAGAGGGGCCTGGCAGTGTTGGCCACACTGCATTTAAAGTGAAAGGCACTATGATCTGATGGGGAAAAAGCCAAAAACCTATAAAACTTGAAGACCAACTACATGATAAATTAGAACACAATTAATTATTATAAGGAAGGAGCAAAGATATTGGTTGAAAACAGGTCAGAAGGGGTGGATGCAAAAACTCAGCAACAGTTCTCTAATCTATGGCCAGCATTTAATGCTAGATCCTGTTCTGCACAGACACAATCTGCACCAAAAGAACGTGACATTACCACAGCTGTATTTCTTTGCAGTATCCTATTAAGTTGGATTCTCTCACTTTAATAATAAAGACTACAATGCTGACAAAAAGCAGTATTTATCATATTTTAAGATCATTTTAGAGAAATAAGCAACTCTTCTCTTTTGAAATAAATCAAGAAAATGGTGGTGTTTCAAAAAGGGAGTGGCATCAGTATTGAAGGGGCCATAAAAAGCCCCAAAATCCCAATGATCTTATTTTCAATCTGAGAATGCATCAAACACCTTCATGACCATGTCATTTTGGAAAAAGCAGGCTTGTAATACAACATGGTCATGACTGCATGAATTACTACTGTGATCATAGACTTTCACTTACAGCTACACGTACTTCAATTTAAGCCACGTTTCTTGACTAGGATAACAGCAATTCATAATAGTTTCCATGTTTTTTTCTATGCTTTTCTTTCATGTGAGCTCAGACAATGTCTAGATTTCAGTTTAGATCCTCACTGCTTCTGCTACACACAACTGAGGTAAAATCCAGTGAGCCATGGCAACGCTCGCCTGCTGCTCCACTGACCATTTCCCAGTGGCAGTCTGAACGACAAATGAAAAAACAAGGAGAAAACGCAACAATAATATTACGGTAGCAGTAACTACTACTTACAAAAAGTCCCTTCCAGCGTGTTTCAAGAGCTTACCTGTCTGAAGCTTCTAAGTCAAAGCAGAATCGCCTGTCTATAGTATCTATATTTCTTTTGGTACAATACGTAAGGACGAAGAGTTCCTCATCACCCTGTGAAAAAAAGGTTTTATATGCTTGACCCAGTAATTGAAAGCTTCAGTAATTTAGCTATACAAACCAAGTAAGGTACATTTATAAAAGTTATACTGAAAACTGACACTTGCAGAAGAATTCACTCATGGGTCTCTACATAATAGCACATAAATTCCATGGTCCTTTATGGGACATAAATGCAAAAATATTGAGTCCATTTTAGCTGGTGCTTTACAGCATGACACAGCACCACAGTAACTTAAACTAACAAAAGTATTTTGCTGTAAAGTCTTCACATGTTACAGTATAAGCACACAATGAGTGTAAGAGTCTTCTCCCATTTTATGTCAGACATGGTGATCTCCACAGTAAAGGCTACTGCTACAGAAATTGGAACAAAGCGTTATTTACCATCTGCAATCTGTTTTACAGAACCAGTCCTTTCTTCAAGGCCGACCAACACTAGAATCAGATTTCATACTTAAGTATTTAAATAATTTCATCTGTGAATGCTGCATGAGTTGTACTAGATTTAATCAAACTTAACTGTACATTTTAATTATTCCTTGTCTTATTCACCATCTCCAGACACAGGAGGTTGTCACCAAAGGAGTAATTGCATTGTGGGTTTCAAAATGGATGATCTTTTAATACAGCAAAAATGGCTTCATAAGTGTTTTAGAATGCTGAATGCTTACACACATACTATGTTAACTAAAATAGCTTATTACAATTAGAGTAAATCAGGATAAAAAATTCATAGAAGTACTGAAATGATTAAGGGAGCTAAATGCCATTAATTTTCAATATGGCAGGTTTTCCAGATCTTTTGAAAGATTCTTCCCAATTCAATATATTTGTAAATACAGACAGACCTCAAAATTATGAAAGTCATCTCCCCTCTGTTCAAACTAATGGGATATAACACCCTGATATCATTCCAACAACATGATTTCCTAACCAAATTTGAAGATAGGGCAGGGTGTTGCATTTACAGGAATAGTGACTGAAGCATTATTTTCCAGCTTCAGATACCCTTTTTCCTTGCAACAAAATGCATTTCATCCATATTAATGCCGTCATTTAATGCATCATCTCTGAAGGTTCTGAGTGTCCTCAATTCCCAACTATTTCAATAGGAATTAAAGCCATTTAAGATCAACAGTCTTGAGTCTTGAATATTTCAGATGCTATCAAAGACATCCAAAATTACATTCAGATGTCAGTACAAATTATATACCTATTAAAATCCTCTTTTCTAGTCCCTCTAGTAATTGCACATCTGAAAGAAAAATCTGACTGAAGCATGCAAGAAAGAGGTTTCTATTATGTTTTCCTGATTTATACTTTAACAAGTTAAATGCTTCATGGATAAACCAAATTCTAAATGGTGAAACACTGCATGTTATCTGTACCACATTCTCTGGTCTTCTGAAAGGAAACAATTGAAAAGTTGGCAGATTTCAAAACTATTAATCCAACTGTTACTTTAGTTTAATGTCCTTAAATGGCAGACAACTCACGAAGAAAGAAGAAATTAAGGGGCAAGGAGGTAGAGAGGGAGAGTGGTTGACATATCTTATCTGACACATTCTCTGCTCTTGATACAGGGCAAGTATAAAAGTGCATTATAAAAATATACTTACAATTTTCCCTCCTGATCTGTGTTCAAATGGGATCATGGTGAACTTCTTTGTCTCCTTCCTGTACGTGCAATAGTGCTTCACCCAACTGGAACCAAAGGGAGCAGGCCCTACAACAAATGGAAGCATTAACTAGTATGTGCTCTTTACAGTTTGTGTGTTTTCTCCTCCTGCTTTCCAAAATGATACTTAAGAGTCCTATTTAATACCTAATAATGTAGTATTAAAAAAAAAAAGGTATGAATTAAGAACATTATACAAAGTAATACAAATGTTAACCAGTGCTAAAAACTTCTAAAAACTGAAACATGTAGTATTTCACATTTATGTTTAATGCAAATGGAAAGAATTACTAACACATCTTTGTCTCACTGCTAAACACAAAATATTTTTTCCCTATAAAAAAAATATCCCATGGAAACATTTAGGCAGAATATGCAAACCTATCCAATCACATCTTCTGACACCAAAACTCACTCCTAATGATTCATCAGCGCCCAGCCTAAATAGAGTAAGAGCCCCGCCTACTACATGCAGTATTGTTGAGATTTACACCATAATGTTAACTGTTAAGACTTGGATTCTGATTCTCGGTATCTCCTCATTTCCATCAATTTACTTTAAAAAAATCCCCCAAAAAAGGAAATAGTCTGCAAAGGATCTTCTCTTTCAAAGGACTCTGCCCCAAAGTATCAGGGAAGCCCTTTGTGAGTGGCTCAAGCCAAGAGAAGATTTTACTGCTCCCAACTCCGAAGGTCTCACAGCCCTGCTCCTCCCCAGCTCAGTTCCAGGCATACTCTCACCTCTTCTGAATCTTTTCAGCTCATTCTGAAGCTCATGATGAGCAAGACCAGAGAACTGATCTCACAGAATAATGATTTTTATTACATTTTACTGCTAGTTCTCTTACAACTTATTTCTGAACACTGTAATACCCACGATTCCAGTGTAGAGTCTTCAAATCTGTGAAATATTTTACAGAATTCTTTAAACAATCATCAATTAAATATCAAAAAAAGTAAAATTCTCTCATCATAATAAGCAAAACAGACTTTCTAGAAGACACACATGAAAAAATATGGGTTTTGCAAAATGTTCTCAAAAAACCCACCACTTTGTGATCATTCCTTGAGCGCAAAGAGCTCTGCATCTTTTTCAGCTTCTTTACTAGCATGAGAAAGATTTAATTGTTCAAAGTATTGACAGGATATGATTTGCGTGACAGGCACCTTCACAGCAAGATTTTCAACACTAGCTACTTAGCGTGTATCCTGCTTTATTTGACCCTATGATCACAAGTAGGTCCTGAAAGCGTATCACTGAACCAAGGAAATGACAGCCAGTTTCATCATACTAAACTAGACCAATCTTCAGAGGCTAATTTGACAACTCTTCTTGTTCTCTGACAACAAATGTTTGACAGTTCTAAGGGAGGTCATTAGTAAGGGATTAAAAATAACATGAAATACATCCTTTGATCAAATAAAATTTCCCTGAATTCAGTCATCTTTTCTAAGAACTGTCACACTTCCAGCACCATGCTCTTTTATGACACTGCCATTAGAGACTTTGAACGTTTACTCAGATGCTCTGCTTAATTAACTGCAAATTCCTTGCATCTTTATGTTACCTGTAGAAACAAGACTTGCCTGTATGCACAGTATGGGCACTATAAGAATACAAAAGTACACCTTACTTTTTTCCTGTACATAGAGATAGCCTTCCATCGTGAAATGATTTGCTCTTTTATGCTCCTGAGGATTTCTTCTGATCTTGTTCATGAGCTCCTCTACCTCTGACCTTGTTCCTTCAAAACGATTTCGTGTCTAAAACAAGACAGCAAAAACCCATTAGTAGAGAGAGTGGAAGAAAGACTATTCCTGGCAGGTAGGAGCTATAATACTAATTTATAAAATGAGAGAATGATCCAGACCATTTTAGTACAGTCAGTGTACAATTTCCATATACATTTACTCTTCAAGATTTCTGATATTCTTCAAAATTAAAGTGTGGTTCAGATATTAGCTGCTGTAACTGTGGAAAACACACAAAGATTACCAGAGTGGATTTCTAAAACAATCCACTGACCTGTTCAGAAAGTGACATACTGAGTGCAAAATTACTTTGGATTTGAATATTCAAGTGTCCTTAGAAACGTATTACTGCAGACGTTGGCTTGATTCATGAGACACTAGTTGTCAGGAAGAAGGGGATTTTCTATGATTATTGAGAAAAAGTGACAGGAAGGTCACCAACAGTGTATACACATTGAGACTAAACACGTGCCAAGTATTTTAATCACACACAAGCAGCAGCATACCAAAGAAAAGTTATGATTCCTGAATGTCACTCATTCCAAAGTTTGCGAGCAGCCACAAGGTAAGTATTTATTAGAATATTAGTAAAAGCAATCAGAAGGTACCATACCACCCACAAATTATACAACAAGATCACACAAACAACAGAGCAGTTCACACCTGACAAGAAAAACTCTTTCAGTTTGGTCTGATAAACGCTGGCAATTGGCCAACAAGCAAATAACAAAACCATCATGGTAATACCCAGTTTTCTCCACATACCCACTTGCCCAAATGAACACATACGTTTAAATCCCAAGCTGGTATATTCCCCAATTGGCACACGTGTTTCAAGGAAAGCACATACTTCCAGATACATGCTTATGTGTCTTGTTGCTTTCTGAGAGCAACTTCGGTTTTCTGACAATGAATGAGCTTTTGAAAGTGCTGTCTCACCTATTTTACTTTTTTCACCCAGGTCAAGCATACCGTTGCATACACAGACAAATATATCAAGAGTATAAACAAGCATCCATTCTTGTACACAGACAATTAACACTGTGTTCCCGACTGGCCGACTGTACCTGCAAATTCCAGATTTACGCTTGGAAAGACCTTATTCACAGGCACAAAACACAGTCCATGCAGGCTGGTCAAAGCAGCCACTCATATCCTTACATTTTATAGTGGAAAGCTGAATATATTCTTTAGGCAATGACTAAGAAGAACTGCCTTCTTACCTCCAGGTAAAACAACTGCTCTGAACCCTCCCCCATATCAATCATTTCATTTTCAGGTCACATCTGCTTGCAAGTATGTGCAGGGTCTAACTCCAAAAACTTGCTTACAGGGCTCCAAACAATTTGCTGCATTAAAAAGTATACTATGGACTCTGGACAAGGACAAAAAAAATTGATAGTGACAGACTGCTCATACCTAAGCCTCCCTGTCTGAGCACTGATCACTCTGAGGTTAGTTGCTTCAACGGATCCTGACGGGATCTGTGCCTTAGCTGTTCAGTGATCACAAATCCCAGTGTGGAAATGCAGCCTGGGAAGGTGGGATGGAGAACCACGGGCTCCATAAACCTCAAGAAAATGTCTATTTCCCCTCTGTGCTGTGAGAAAGCTGAGCTTAACCAGGGGTCAACCACAGCCACTGCACCAGTGTGGCTATGCCTCCTCTTCCCAGAGAAGGCCAGGTTTGCTTGCAGGGAGAGTGTGGTCAAGGCTGCAAGGATCCTTTTATGGGGCCAGGCCCAGAACTCCAATAATAAAAGTCCTAGGAGTGCGGGGGAATCTAGTTGGAGACGCAGGATTTTTTACAAGAGAATAAGACTGTTGGAAGAATCACCTTACTGGAGCTTGGGCTACGTGGCTGGGGTTTGGGGTTTTTTTTCTTTCTTTCTTTTTTGGAGGGGAAGTGAGGGGAAGGCAAAGTCTGGAGAGCAAATCCACAGCACAATTCTCAAAGTAAAAAAATGAATGAAAGGGAAGGCAATTACTACAGCTATACCGGCAACTCTCAAATCACTTTTCATATCCAGCTAGGCTCTCTGTACTGAATCTTGCACCCTTCAATTTCTAACATGTCAATCCAGTGTTCTGCCAGCAGCTCAGCTGTACCACAGTCAAGACCTAGTTCATTTTTCCTTTGGGATGTTTTATTCATCTTCAACACAGTAGAGAATGTGTCATGTCCTCTCACAATCTTTTCAGATGCTTCCTTCTATATTCTCCTCTTAGATAGTTATTAAGCCTTGCCTCTTTTCTCTCTACAGCTTTTTGAAATACAGGTCGTTCTTTCTGTCTATTCATAAAACTTGAGCTGTAACGCTCAATCTCTCTTGGGTTTCCTGGGGCACACTATCATACCATTCAGTCAATTGAAACCCAGCTGTTGAGATTAGGTTGCTTTCTTATTGCTCACCACATCTTCAGACCACTTCACCAGCTCTTTTCCATCTGTAATCTCAAATCCAGCTCTTCAAAAATGTATCACAGCTTACTTCTCATGTTTCTTTTCTTGCTCATCTTGCATTAGCTCCCCTCTAACCACTGCAGCTCCGTGCTGCTCCTCACTCTGTTAAGCTAAGCACACAGAAGCAGCAAGTCTGTCCTGAAATTTCCCCAGAAGCACTGACTTCTGCCATGAAACCACTCTGTTAAGCTAAGCACACAGAACTGATGTGAAGAACTGACACACTTCTACTGATGAAGCTATTCGGTTCCCTTACCCAAACCGAACAAGAGCTCCAGAGGAAACTTGAGACTTAAACATACGGAAAGAAAACCAAGGGAATCCCATCATGACACATGAATCATGTCACTATGTATTATAACCACCATAATCCTCTCTTTCACCTTCCCACCTCCCTGCTAGTTAAGCCACTCCTAAAAATAGACTGCGACCTCTGAGCAGCAGTTTCTGTGTCTTAATTCCAGGTGTCCTTAGAGGTCATTGAAACAGATGCACCATCACGAATTGCTTGTTCGCAGTAAGGTTTGTTCCCTACCAACAGGCCTCTGGCACATCCAAGTTCCTCTGAGCGAGTTTTATTCTTCAACAAATCTCAAGGAGGCAAATGGACCATCTGACTAGTGACTCTGTCAGTACTGTTGCTTCAGCCTGGCACCTTGCTTCCTGCTCTCCCAGTCCTCAGCATATCACACAGGACAATTTGGTGTGAGGGAACACTAACTAGCAGTGTGCCCCAGAGAGGTTGCCCTTGAAGGAACACACCATTTTGTCAATACACCATGGGTGTTAACACCAAGTCTCCTTGTACAGCCCCATACACTAAATCAATAGGGATGTTCTTGCCTGAAAGGGCTGCTTTAACACAAACTCCCAAATCACAATGCTGGTAGAAATAGCAAAAAAATGCTGATACACCCAGCGTAACTTTCTTTGTTATGGATAATATAGCCCTATCAAGCAGTGACATGACCACCACATACCTGATTTCAAACACACCTAAAACACTGAGGACCTTGGCATTTCATTACCCATCCTCCGAATTCTCCTGCGTTGTATGCATTTTAACAAACTCTGTTTGTTTTTGAACTCTTTCAAGCTAATCCTTGTGTTATGTCTCAAAAACAACTGGAAAAAGGAGTGGGGGCCTTTCACTTGGTGTTTGTTTTTAGAGAAGCATTAGAAATAATGAACTCACTGTTAGCCATGATTTGTTCAGTCATGAGGTTGGTTAGCCAGCAGATGGCACTGTATCCCCAAAGTTCCCAGGCAACGCACGAACACCGTGGTAGCACTGGCAGTAAGTTGCTGTATGTACAGTATCTCTAAGTGTGCCATTTTACTCAAAAAAAAATTAGCAAAGGCATAGATCTTAACTCAATCTCAACTTACATTTTGTATATTTATCTGCAGGGCCATTTTGTAATGATTGAAGTCTTTAGCAAGTTCATATCCCTGATGATAGAAAGTGAACAAACCCTGAAAAAATGATAGCACCTGAAATACAAACAAAAGACTTGTTAGACTGAGAAACTCCATTTACCAGAATACAATTGCTGCACACAGCCTTTTGTGGACAGCTCAGAGATGACAAAATGATAATTTTCAAACAATTCCCACTAATGCCCACAATTTATGAATAAATATTTAGATCCATACGATCAGCTGTGTTTGTAGACATTTTTGGGTGGTTCTGTCTCTGGGATTTCACAATTAATCTTCAGTTTAAATCTGACCATAGGCTATGCCTATTGCCTGTCTCCCAAACTTTCCTATGTAAGGTTTTCCTACAGCTGCTCTGCCCCCAGTGATGCCTGGAATATTTATTTGTGCACAAGGAGGTAACGATCATTCTGTCTTTTAGTCACCACTTCCCTGGTCATACCCCTCCCTGCTAATGACCACGTGGAGATGACTTTCATAACAGAGTCAACTGGTTTGTTGAAATAAGGAAGCTTTCTCTCCAGTAACCTTATCCATCCCGGCTTTTTGAACCCAGACCTAACCCTCTGTCAGAACCAACAGTCCATCCACAGTGCCTTTTCTGACTTCAGTGTTTCAATTTAAAAGAATGAGTTACACTGTATTGGAAGCAGGGTGAGGTAGGGCACTGCCGGCCTCTCCTGTTTGGTTCAGGTTGTTGGAAAGAAGCGAGTGACAGAGGAAAGAACTGTCTTCAGGAAAAAGAATAAACCAAAAAACATGTTCAATAAAGTCTGAAGTCATATGCAAACAAATAATTTTCAAAAATGCAAAACACACATAAATTTAAAGTGTTATGAAGGGAAGAGGGGATAAGAATTTGGTATTAAATAATTTCAGTTTGTTACCTGAACGCAGACTTCAAATACAAATTAAGCAACAAAGTTCAGCCCCATCAAGAGGCAGCTTTCAGAAAAGAGAAAAGGGACATGTTTCAAAAACATAATTTGAAGTTTTATTACTAGAGTCTGGCTCTATGGAAACTTAGAATGGTTTGAAACACAGTAACTGAATCCAAAACCATTTAGGATTAAAAAAATAAAAATACTAGACAGTTTAAAAAAAAAAGCAACAACAAAAAAATCCTGCACAACCATTTTTCACAGCATTTTCCCATTCCTTGAACTATGCTAATATATTTAAAGCAATTTATTCTCACTTCATCGTTTTAGCAATTTTTTCATGCAGGAATAAGCTATATTAAAACACAGAGCTCTAACTCCATAATGACCAACTACTTTGACTAGGGTCATTGGGGATTTTTTTTTTTTCATTATTACATTAAGAAAATTGTACCAGAATAAAAGGACAGACGGCCCACAAACACAGACTTCAGAGCTTAATCAAACAGAAGTCACTTCTCAAGTCCATTCTCCCTTTATCTCAGTAGCACACATTGGTCTCTCATCGTTTCATAAAGTTGTATTTATACTATGAAGCTAATGCACATTGCAGAAAAATATACACTAAGCTCTTCTCGGAGATTTAAGTATGTCTGGTAGGTATATACATGATTTTCACTGAAATTCAGTGGAAACCCTTGATTTCCACAGATTCAATTGCAATTGAAATTGAACATATCAAGACTACCTGATCCAAAATAATCAGCTTTTAGCCAGCAGCACCCTCTTAATTTATATCTGCACTTCTTCACTAGCAGGCCTCTAACTGCAACCTTCATATTGAAAATTAAACTCCTCACATCAGTTTGGAATAACATTTCAGTGGTTGAAAAAACAAAAGGCAGAAAGTCTGACCCCAACATCACCATCTCGAATCTTCTGTTCTAACTCACACCGTAAATTGAGTTTTTTTGTAGTGCAGCACAAGGTTTCACACATGTTCTGAAAATCAACATCAATGGATCCAAATCAACTGCAATTACTGAGGTAAGCTTTGAAATGCCTGGCTAAGTGTAGCTGCACTAGGAAATTGCACAGATCTAACAAGAGTGCTTTAAATTCTGTTAAGTCACAACTGCATATGTTTTCCCAGAAAATGGAGCTCCTTGACTTATGTTCAATTGCATTCCTTCTCCATCCCTTATGAATGACAGGGTAGGCTGAATTCAGTGGTACTTACAGGTTCCACACACTCAAATTTCTTCCTCTCCTGTATCTCTTGCAACTTGCATACATACTCGAGGGACAGCTCATAGAAGTGTTTTCTGTTCTGTTCCACTTGGTTATCTGCCTGCACACAGAATACAGCTAATGAAGTTTCCAAGACATTTTGCAAACAGCTTCAAAATGACACATATATACAGCATACAAGTGGCAAGCGATATTTTCTCCAGACTGCAATTTGTTCCTTTACAACGCAGCTCATTCATTTACTTTCAAATGGCAGCAGCAATTCCCTTTTAATAGACAATGTGTGCTGTTTTTATCATGAGGCTAAATTTTTAGAAATATTCCAATAACACCTCTTCAAGGTTCTTTTCTATGGAATCCAAGCCAAATACAGCAGAGCAGGTATTTGTGCACTGCTTTAACAACACTGAAAAGGTGCCTGCCCAAACAGGGACTAGCAGTATCTTCCATTAGAAAAGGGGGACATCATCTCTCCAGGCAAACTAAGGAAGAAGTTCTTGTCAAAAACCACATTGCTGGTACCATAATCTTTACCTTGTAGCCCAAATAGCTACTGTAAATAGCCAGAATGCTATCGTACCCCTCCCACACCTGTGCTCACTCTGGCAAGAAAAGCAATAAAAAAAGTTCACTTATTGGTGAGACACTTCACAAGTTTCCACAGAGCATCGAATATTCCAAAATGCAGCCTTATTAGCTGCAGCTGATTTTTAGCTCAGCTTCGCTGAAATGCCAACACCATATTGATGGCCAACAGCTATGTTTTGGGTGGAATTCATCTGTACCTAAGGATTTAGCTGTCTAGCATATATGTATTATTTCATAGTACGTGCCCTCATTAAACTATAAAACTTCAAGAACCGGGCAATGGAAACCTTTATTGAAATACATGAAAGAAAACGCAAAGGGATACTCTAAGTGATTTACACTTAGTCTTTGCCCATGTGATAATACCAAATGCTCCTACACTGAAATATAAAAGGGACTGGAAAAAGGGTTAGGTGAAAGGACCAGCCTTCCTATCATACATTCTCTTAAATGCTGAGACTATACCCTTCAGGCAGAACAGTGACTGCTATGCTTTAAGAGGATAAGTCAAATGAGCTTTAAGACAGTTCTGCCTTAAGCCGTGCTTTGTTGCTGTGTTAGCAATCTGTGAGCAGTTAAAGGGGAATAACAAGAAATGCGTCAAAAAAAACTGAGCACTGATATGCATGTCAGTAAGAAAACGTTCCAAAAAGCCAAGCCATTTCCATGCATCCTACAAACCATGCAACACGGGAATCGTTTGAGATGTCAGCAAAGCTTCTAATGATACATACCATTTACAGAAGGGCAGCCACAGAACAAGACTATGAGTGGGTGTACTAGGACATCTGGCTAATCGATAGTAAGACTGCCCTGTACACACCAAAGCCCCACGTAAGCCTGCCTCTAGATATCTCTGTTGACTGTTTGGGTTGCCCCCCTCAAGAGCACAATACCCAACAGAGCCAATTAATTATTTTTGCTCAATTCCCCTGTAAATGAATTATCACAGCTCTCCTCACTTTTTCAAGGCATAAGCCTCCCCATGCACCCATCAAGTCCGCCCACTCTTGCATTGTGCTTTGTGTACTGTCGAAGAAATACAGAAATAAGACACACACCGTGCCTCAATGAAATTTCAGGGATAACCCTCCACTAAGAGTGTCAAAGGCTATCTTAATGTAAGACATACTCTACAATATGGCATGTTTTTCATCAATTTTTTTGTCAAATTTATACTCACATCCTTTATTTACTCCAGTCAGGAACTGACACAACGAGCCATATATAATACCAAATAAAGAAGCTCCCATGAACTTGTACACATATTTTTCTAGGCTTGTGCAAGACAGTTTTTCCTATTTAGCACTCTGACAACATGTTGCAAGTCCTTGGGGTGTTTTGGTTCTTTATTTTTTAAATTGCTTGAACATTTATACTCCAAAATTAAATGCACAAATGAAAGAGCCTGACTGAAGAATTCCTGGATTTTTGTTCATGTAACTTTGAAGGACATTTCAAACAAATCTCTTGGGTCACTATATTGTTTACACAAAAACTTCAGACTGTATCTGACACAGCTTCAAAGTGCCTTGTAAGGCATTTTGTATTTTTCCGTTGAGGTTCAGTCTCACTTCAAACTCCGAAATATGGTTCTCAATACCATCAAGTAAGAGATCATAATTAATACTTCATTTTTTCTGCATCACGTTCTTCAACAGCTGATCAGTTTGATAGAAGCACAGGTCCTGACAGATGAGCAATACCCATTAACTTCAATGGGACAACTCAAGTCTCCAGAGACACTTTTTTATGCATATGATGGCCCATGCTGCAAATACAACATGGAAAACTAACATCCTAGTGAAACTTGAGAACAACCAGAGTTCTCAAGTTCATAGTTAACCTGTCAGTTGCATTAACCAATTTTTAGGAAAGATGGCATAGACTATTTGGGGTGAGGTAAAGGGCAAGGAGAAAAGTCATCTCCAAGGAGAACATTAGGTGCTTAATGATACAAGGCATTCATAGGCCAAGCATTAATAATTCTGACATAATTACATTTCTCTGAAGAAAGTAAAATCCTTCTCCCTACAGGAAGTCTCTGCAAGATTTCTCTGCTATCTACTCACCAACTATTTGCTGGTGTTCCAGAAATAAAAGCTATTACAAATAAGGATGATGATAAACCCACAGGGACAGGAGGAATGCCAGGCAACACAGATCTGTTTTTAAGTTATAAATTGTCAACAAACTAGTTTTTTTTCAAGTAATGCTACAAGAAAAGATATTCAAAACACAAGAAAGAAAAAAAGCACAAAAGCACTTGTTTCAGGATTGCAAGTCTTACTGGGCTTTGCATTAAGCATTAACAAAGGACATTTAATTAATACATACAATTCAATGCAAATTACGTATATATCAAAGTCTCATAAGAAATGCAGTGTTTGTCACAATATACTTGCATTTTGCTATTCCCTTAACTATATAAAAATTTAACTTGATGTTCTGTACTTCATACACCTGTCAAGGAAAGCCCTTGATTCAGGAAACAGTCGGGGTACACCGTGAAGTTCAGGAAATACTGATTTTCTCACCAACCTTTACAGTTGACAGAACTTCTCTTTTTACCACTATGAATGCTAGTTTTACATTTGCATGAAATATATTTACCTATTCAAAAGCCTGTAGCTTGCATAACAAAAAAAAGAGGCAACAATACCTCTTGTAATTGTAGCTCTTTCTTCTTAGCTGATAAATTCAAATGCTTTTCTAACAAACTGTAGTTCTTCTCTGTCTCTTTATCAAACTTCTTCTTTTCCTCCTAGACACAGAAACAAAGTAACATTCATTTATATATTTTTAAAAAAGCTAAGAAAAGTCTCTTCATTCTTCGTTTCAAATTCTACTTAATCCAAAACCAGGAGAAACAAACTATCGTAGTCCAAGTAACTATGGGAAAGTTCATTTCCAATTCTTTTTTTTAAATTGATATAAAAGCTAACTTGAAATGAAATCCCATCACATCACTATGGGGAAGTTTATCACATAAATGCTTACATCTTCCAAAGTAAAAACGAAAATAAAAAATCTCCTTGATTTACTGCATTTTTCATTATTTTCAAGGATCCTCCACATCATCCTGGTTTTGAAGAGAGGACTTAAAGGGAAATAACCAGTTTCACAGAAAGGTGGGTGGTTTTGGGTTTTTTTTTGGTTGGTTGGTTTTTTGTTTGTTTGGGGTTTTTGTTTTCCAAAAAAAATTACAGGGGAAAATTGTAAAAAAAGCATTTGAGTAAGTGCTAACAGTTTCACAGTTCAAAACCCAAAGAAAACCTAGCTTAGAATTTCTTGTTTTTAAAGCCAAAGATCTCTGTCCTGAATTCCTGCTTCTACCTGACTGGTTTTGCAACCGTGGAAAAAAGAGACTTTTTAAAATAAAGTAAATCTCCATAAAACACAAAATCATGCTGGCAGAAGAGAATCTCTGAGACACGTATGAGTATAGTTTGCACATGCAAATCCATTTCTCTGACTATCAAAAGCAATGTATTAGAAAAGGGACAGCCATTACATATCTCTAGGAAATCTGAGTTCTTGGATCTAATTTAGCAGAAGACACTGTAAACCAACACTTTCATTTCCTCAGTTTTAGTTTCTTAACTCTGTGTGCTGTGACAGAAAGTGGTATTCATGCAACCAACTATTGAGTTTTGAATCTGGTTTTAGTATAACCAAATTGCAAATTGAAAATATTCTAAAATAAGTAAAATGATCTGTCAATTTGGAATTTTATTTAAATGTATTCTACCCAACATACTGGTTAGGTTCTATAGACATACTTGCCTTTTTTTTTTTGTCTTCTCTTAACCTTTCATTTTTAGTAAGTAACACTATAATCAGTGATACACATTTTTGTTCTCTAAACGACTGGATTCTGAAGATGGCATCCTATTAAAGAGGGAATCTAAGCTGTTCAGGATCGCTTCTCAGCAAGGAATTTTACCAAAAATGCTAGGGTTTTTTTCCTCCATTCTGAGTCCAAGAACTTCCTTTTAAAAAACAGCCACATTATTCCTTACCAACTGAGAAACATTAAGATAAGCATATGGCACTAGTGTGAAGAGAGATAACATATCAGCATATGGGAAATTAGGAAGAAGAGGAGGGAGGTGTGGGGGGGAATCTTTGTGTTTATATTAGCAAAAGTTCCATTGATCTGATCAACATTGGAGTGCTGCCAGAGAAGGAGTGAGCTATTGGCTTCTAAATAGGTACAGCCAGAGACTTGACACATAGTTTGGGATTAGAGCAGCAACATCTTTTATGAGGGGGTAATTCAATAAGGATCTCAGCTTCCAGCACTATGCTATAGAGCTAAACTCTTTTTCTTCTTAAGCCTACTTCAGACCACTTCATCAGCAGGGGATGCAAGATAAAGGAAAATCTGAGGCAGCAGATTCAACTTTTATTTTGTAATGGTAAAGCATAAATTTTTCCTAAAGCAAATACAACATGACATTCCAGATATATTTCACTACTAGATGTAATAATCTGGTTTTGAGAGCTAAGCATTGTTATATTTCCAATGCCACTACTTTGATTATATTGAATAAGTATTCAAGTTATGAATATTCAAATAGTTAAATATTTTTTAGAGTATTTTTGTTTAGATTATGCAATTATGCAAGACTGTTCTATTTAAGGTCACAGAATCCTGTCCAAAACAAATGGCTAAATGGCAAATAAGAGCTTCAACTTGACAGAAACAGTATGCAGGGAGACAGAGGAAGAAACATCCATCCAAACAAAATGCAAGATGTAGGCTGTTTGAATGAGACTTGTCATGTTAGAAACATCAGGGACAGAATTTGGACTAGTAAATGAGTGAAGAACCTGAGACAATTTAAAGCATTAGGAGTTCTCACCCCAAAAACATCAATGTTCTATAACACCAAACACACTGTTGAAATAGCCCATTCATTACAGCTGCTTCTAAGGCAATAAGTTACGTTTGGAACGAATTCTCTATTTTCTTAGAAGACTCCCTATATTACAGACCAAGTTTTTATTGCGTGTTGGTTGGGATGCCTGATGAACTTCTCAGAAGTCCGTACAAATCACACAAAGCTCATTGTACCATCAAACTGTAACGATTTATGATCAACAGAGCATTTTACATTCACGAACACTGAAATCATACTCAGAACACATGAATCATCCTGCTAAAGTCAAAATGTATAGCGCTCTCATAACCAAAACATTACCTTAGCTATTAAATACCACATCTGATGAAGTCATGAAATTATAAAAACATCTGCAGAGCGGTACCTTAAACTTGTATGAATTTGAGGTTTTCAAGAGATAACTGTCTTAACTAGCTCTTCTTATTTCCTTTTTTTTTTTAAAAAGCATTTAAATTTCTCACTGGAAGATGGAAAGTAGACAGGTACAAAGAGGTAAAACTTGTCCTTGTTACTTTTATCCACAGCTAGTCCATATTTATTACACCATATTGTGTTTGTGTGGCTGGGTTTGGTAGCTGGGGAGGTGCTACAGGGGTGCCTTCTGTGAGAAGCTGCTAGAAGTTTCACAGGATGGATCTCTCTCTGGCTATGGTCAAGCCAATTAGTATCTCTGTGATTAACATATTTAAGAAGAGAAAACAAAGAGACCTCTAGAAGGAGTGAGGTGTGAGAGAAACCCCCAGGTCAGTGCAGAAAGGCGGGAGGAGGTGTCTGGAGCAGAATTTCCCCTGAGCTTGTGGGGAGAGGGCAGGCTGTGCCCCTGCAGCCATGGAGGGTCACGAGGGAGCCGAGAACCCCTGCAG